GGAAGTGCTGAAAGGATTGACATCCTCTCTTTAATAATGTAAGAAGTGCAGCGAAGAGGAAGTTCTCAGTCTCACGGCACGAAAATGTATCCTTCTTCTGCAAGTGTGCCTGAAAATCAGCTTCGTTTAATTGAATACAAAGCAGCCAGTATGCTGATCTCTCTGAATGCCTTTTTTGTTTGATTTTCTAATAGTAAAAGTGGACAATAAAATACAGAGGCATCCTCCTGCTGTTGAGGTATCTGCTTTACGTTGATCACTGGATTACCAAAATCTCTGCATGCCTGTGGAGCAGTTTCCCATTTAGAAATGTATTACAATTTATGAAAATTGTTTAGGGAGTTGTCCTCGTATTGTGATGGCAGTCACTGTCATCCTTATATAAAGAAAGCTGTAGAGTCATAGAGTGAGTGTGTGTTGCCTGGAAAAACTACCATAGGATGCATGATGGTTTCCTTCAGTCAGGAGGAAGAATGCACTTTAAAATATTTTAAAGAATACAAATTACTGAGTGTCAGGAGAAACCAACAAATTGAAGACACAATTAACCTGGACTGATTTCACTGGCCCCTCCACATTCTCCCATACGGTACAGTAAATGTATACTAACATGAGGACCTACTGGGCTGCCAGCACATTCAGACTGACCTCTATCTATGCAGGACAATAGTAACTAGAAAACGACTTGTCTGCTCAAGAATGTACATACTTATATAAGAATAAAGACATCACCACTGTACTGTATACTGGATTTGTGTATTTGAAGTAACAGAATGGGATGATTAAGTACAGTCCTGAGAGAAAAACTACATTTGTGGCTCAAGAAGGAAGTCCCTGATCAAGGTCATCATCTCGAGCTCATGTACGACACTCAGAAACTACAAGCACAACAACAACAACGCGTGAAGTGGTGTATGCTGGGAAGCACAAGGTGGGACGGAGACAGAAATCGATGAGCAACACCAGCAAGCTGCAGGTTGTGTCTTTCCTGGAAGCCTTTGTCAGATCAGTCTGTTCCTAGCAACCGCATGAGCCAGACGGAGCTCATGGCCTCCTCTTGCTGGGACTTTTCCTTTTGTTCTTGTACCTCCCGCGAAGCGAAGCTCAGGATCCTATGCAGGCGGTCTGATCCGGAAGTAAGTGGAGAAGAACATCGGGGGAGAAGATGAAGAGGATCAGGACGGGTTGACAGACAGGGGGGCGTGACTGTGGTGATCCGGTGCTCGGGAGGGCATTTTGATGGCAAACAGGTCCAGGGAGTCCAAAAAGGGGGAATCCGGGGCACAGTCCGAAGTCCAAAACTGGGGGATCCAACAAAGACGAAACAGACACAGTTAAAATCCGGACAGGGACAGGGAACCAGGAAGATAAAAAACAGGATAACGGGGCCAGGCGCTCCGAGCCCCGGACTGAGATGGTCAGGACGCCGTGATGAAGCCTACGCTGTCAAGCCGCGGACGAAAGGCGACTTGATGATAGGCGGGCCTCCGGGCGTCCGTCTCCCAGCGCTGAGCCAGGAATAGCGGTGGCGCCTGGCTTAAATAAAGACGGACTAAACAGGGGGCAGGTGCATGAAATCAACTAAAATACGAAAAGGGCCGGAGCGCCCTTCAGAGGAGGGATTCCGATCGGGACTCTTCTGAAGGCACTGAAAAGACAAGGGGACGGACGCGGGGGTCAGCAGGACAGCTCAGCGCGGGGCCACGGAAATTCAGAACAGGACCCGCAGGAGGGACGAGGGGCCAGAGGCAGGCTTCGTGGAGGAGATGGGGTTTGGAGGAGTAAGGGGGGCGTGTTAATCCAGGGATCCGTGCCAGCCGTCTGGAAGCGACCGATGATGGGAAGGCAGTAAGAATGCGATAAGCTTGGATACCAGCGAGAGAAACAAGCTCGTATTGTTTCTAGCCCCGACAGGAGGCGCTCAAGAGGACCTCGGCCAGCTGTTTACTGAACAACGCGGAGGGATTCCACTTCAGCCACCTGACTGGGTAGTTTAAGATGCAGTACGTTTCAGTATGCAGTACTGAGCTGTAAAAAATGGTAGAATTCGGTAGTCCGGTCAAACCCTAGTTAAGACAGAGCAGAGGCGTGATTCGAGCAGCAGCCCGCTGGAATAACTCACCTGCCTGCAAGGGCGGAGGGGAGGAATGCGAAAAGCCAAACGCGCAGAGCGACAAGCGTGACATTTCCCTGTAGGTAGGAGGATCTGGACGCCGACTTCCTCCTAAACGGCTGTGTAAAACTCCATTAATTAAAATGCACGTTCACACTTCAACCAGATAAGAAAGACAGGACAGAATCAACACTGCGGGAAGGGAAATGCCTTGGGTTTTTTTTTTCCTTTGACGGCCACCACCCGGGGCTGAAACGTGGACGAGTCTGGACGCTCGGTGGCGAAGACAGCATTTCACCGAGTTCCCCCGGCTCTCTGAGCTCTGGTTGAAGTCAAAACCGAGAGGCCGGTGCCCTCAACGAGCAAAGCAAACTAGCGCAGGAAAGGAAGCTTCAGTGTCATAAGTAGCTGCTCTATAAAATGAATGTTACCCACTGATCAGTCATTTAGGTTATTGTCTTCAACAGCCATGGCGTTTTCTTCAGAAGTTACAGGTGACAAACTGGTACCGGTCTTTAAACAGTGGTTTAGGACTTTGATGGCTTTATAACAGCATGCATCATTTTATACTTACATTTCTTGCTTGTGCTGGCAGGTCTTCTTACGTTGGGTAGACAGTCCCGGATCACACGTTTTTAGTTCACTTGTGAAAGGTTTCCAAAGAAAAAAAAAACTAATCCGGGTTACATTTGTTTAAGCAAAAAATGTGGAATGCGGACAAAAAAAAAGTTTAAAATAAAACGTTGTTTAGGCCGTTACCTTCCATTATTTTATTGGGGAGGTTAAAATCAAGACGAGTTGTGTTGCTGCACACGTTTGAGCTTGCGTTTTGTTCAGCACACAAGATGATTTGAAATGGGAAAATGCTTGACTGACAATAACGTATGTAAATACACTGGAGATTGTAAATATCGGTAAGAAAATTGTAAGAGTCATTACACGGAGGGGGGAGGAGGGCATACAAGGGGGGGTAGAGAGTGCACACAAGGAGTACGTGGATTGTTCTCAGGTCTCACGCCAGGCACAGAAGCAACACAAACCGCCGACAGCTGGACAATGTCCTGGTCGCAGGACCGACACAGGGACACAGCGAACCAAGACCTCCGGCTACAGGAGTCCCCCAGCGGCCTGCCGCGACTCTTCACAGCCGCCTGGTGCAGACGAGTACAGAGAGGCATCAAAACACGTACTGGAAGAGATTGTGCTGCTGGCATTTGAGCGCCTGTCGCTGTACGTGTACTGTATCAAAACCGTTACAGAAAAGATCATGGAGGATGAAAGAAAAATCATCCGTTTGGGCGTCACACATCGCGTCTGCCATTCGGAAACAGAAAGACGCCATGAAGAAGTTCCAGCTGTCTTCTTTTCCCAGAAACACACGAATACCGCAAAACCGCGTTGTACTGTACTGTACGCGGTTTTGTAATTATTTCAAGCAATTAAGAAAGTATAATGCTGATTGTGAAGTCTACATAATAATTGCATCCTAGTTAAAAAATCGTAACCACATTATTAGGCTGTTCTTTTTGATTTTTTTCGCGATTTCTCTCGCTATTGCTAAGTGCCAGCTGTGATTTTTTATGATGTATAGTATTGTCCGTGACTTGTGCATTGTACTTTATTGTATTATCGTCGTGAGGGCTGTGATGTTTATAGCAACTATTGTATTGATTATATCGATTTCGATTATATTCGGGTAGCGAGACTCCTTATCTCCCTAAGGGGTGATCACTACTTAGACCGAAGCGGCACTGACGCCCTGGTTCCAGATTCTAGAGAAAAGCCACACTGTGGTGACAGATGTCACACCCATCTCTCATACTCGTGGCACTCAGTGATTGAGAAATAATGCCAACACATTTTCTCAAACAGATTTTCGAAGGATGAAAGAGACAAGTTTAATTAAAAAAAAAAACATGACATGGTCTTTTAGTACCTTAACATAAAAAGACAATAAAACGTTCCTAGCTGGGAAACCCCATCTAGAGTGCAGAATGTTTTTTCTAGCAAAAGAGAGATTTTCTGTGTTTTACTGGGAAGTGATGTGAGCTTACTCATTTTGAATTGTATTTTTTCTAGATATCAATGTTAATATACAGCACTGAATAATTTAGAAAGATGCCTACCTAATGTGTTTGGGGGAAAAAACAAAAGATTATCGTGTTGTTCTGTTTTTGAGCTACAAATGATAAGAGCATAATCGGTACATTTCAACTTCAAAGGTAGTATGCAGATTTAACTAACTGGGACTTTCGTTTGCTTCGAGCTGAGTCAGCAGTGTTTTTATGACAAGCCTAACCTTTCACGGTTGCGTGTAAAACTACAATTCCTACTGGAGACTCGTAGAATAGCAACAATGTAAACATCGATTAACCTCTTTGGCTTTAGTTAACGTACAGTTTGTTGTTTTCGTCGTTCGATTCAATCTTCCTTGTGCCTGTTCTTCGTCCAGTTCTAGTGAAAGGCACCCGTAACGTGAAAGTGTACATTTTTCTTTTGTAGACCAAAAGCTTCAAGGAATTTCGAAGCCCTATATAACGACATTTCATCACCGACACTCCAGGTTAATAATTCGCGCGTTGCTGTTGTTGACTTCACAAAAAGTGCCAATTCCCAGCATTTGCAAGTACAGTTAGTCTGTGCCTAAGAAAAAAAACATGCTGTTAACCGCCGCTTTGCAGTATTAATTCCGATACAACTCCCAGATTGGGTTATACTAAATAACTCTCTGGTGGTTTCAGATTTACTTTCTGCAACAGGAGGAAAGATGTCAAGTAGTGGTAGCGACTAGATTTGCCTTAATCGGGGTCGGACCTCAAAAGTTCTTTGAAATCTGCTATTTTAAAAGCCCTGATCCCACCTCACTTTTAACACCTCGGTAACCCACCTCAAACCGCCGCCAAAAGACCGACTGTCGGAGTTCGCCAGTAACTCTCGCGTCCCCGGCTGTCGAGAAGACGCGCACCATACAAACGCATTACGTCATCCTGTTTCAGATTTCGGCGCATTTCAAAGGTGCACAATAATAAGGCTCCTCTGCTTCGCTCCCTGAATGTCACGGAGGGGGGAAGAAGGGGATGTGGAAATCACAGGATGTGGGAGGGGTGCGGTGATCATTCTACTCAATTTTCTTTCAAGAGGTCGTAACTGGGTGCCGATAAGAGAAATCACTCTTCGACAAAGCGCATATATGGCACTACTGTAAGGTAGGCGGTTAGAGGCTCAGGCCAGGAAACTGAGTCAAAGCCGTATGAACAGCAGTAGCTGACTAGTTTTCTCTCTCTGCGTTAATTTACGAAGGTCAGAAATTACCCAACACTCCTACAGTTTGAATTTTATTGTTTCAGGGGCCGTTGTTATCTTTTTCATCTTTACATGGGCTCCAAGCTGGAAATGAGTCAGCAGCTTGTATTGGTTTCTGATTCTTTTGAATGTTTTTTTTTCTTTTCTCTTAAATTTCACTTGTTTTTCACCGTGAAAACAAATTCCCAGATGTACATTCTTGACAGCTTTTTTTTAATTTATTGTAATTGTTCATCAATTTTCTTTATATGAATTGGCATGTTTCTAATCTGAAGGGACTGCGACGCTGAGACAGGCATTCTGGGCTCTGGGTGTTTGTGTTGTAAACAGGGCCGTCAGCACAACTGCTGGGCCTTAACCATCCTAACGGAACAGAATAGGCAGCATAAATAGCAATTTGGAGCTCCTGCAGCGGACTTCAGGTTAGTTTGACCTTACAGGTTGATCGCGGTGAAGAAAGCATTTCTTTCTTTTGAGACGCAGAAAATGAGGTTTATGCATAGAGGCAAACAGCAGCACGAAAGATAAAATAGCCATTCAAAAATTAAAACTTGAAGAAAAATACCCTTTCTTTTAAAGTCCAGGCTGCTTGCAATTTCTGTTTTCAATCTCCTGAGAGAAAGAACAATCCATTGCACATGTTGGACTATGCTCTAGAATTTAAAAAAGAGTTTCTTTTAAAAGCACAGATTTGGTCACTGTGCTACAACATGGACATGTCTGCTTGTAAAGGCAGCAGGAAGGAGAGCAAGCAGACTTATTCCTGTTCTGAAGGAAAAGCATGATCGCACTGACTCCTGAAAGAGAACAGATTGCATAGGGATGCATAAGGACACTGGCCAATGTTTTTCACTCTGTTCTCTCTGCTCTCTGCTGATTCTTCAGGACCAGCAGCAGCACAAGATGAAGACTGAGTACGGCAGACACTCCCGAAAGAGCCAGGAGGCGTGAAAGTCTGGAAAACTCGGCGTTGAAGGTGACTCAGTAGGTGCTTTTAAGAAACAGACAGATCAATAAGGAGCAAGCTTGGCTAAACGGACTCCTTATATTCTCTGTCAGTGGTGGGTTTTATCTGTGAAATTAATTTTACTGTAATCTCACACTTAATAATAATAATAACAACAATAATAGCTTACACTTATATAGCTCTTTTCTGGACACTCCACTCAAAGCGCTTTACAGGTAATGGGGACTCCCCTCCACCACCACCAGTGTGCAGCCCCACTTGGATGATGTGTCAGTACTCTCACCCCACACCAGCTCTCAGTGGGGAGTAGAACAGTGATGAAGCCAATTCATAGATGGGGTTTACTAGGAGGCCATGATTGGTCAGGGCCAATGGGAAATTTGGCCAGGACACCATGTTTACACCCCTACTCTTTTCAAGAAACGCCCTGGGACTTTTAATGACCACAGAGAGTCAGGAGCTCGGTTTTACATCTCATCCAAAAAATAGCACCTTTTTACAGTATAGTGTCCCTGTCACTATACTGGGGCATTAGGACCCTCATAGACTGCAGGGTGAATGCCCCCTACTAGCCCCACTAACTCCTCTTCCAGCAGCAACCTTAGTTTTTCAAGGAGGTCTCCTATCTAGGAACTGGCCAGGCTTCCTGTTAATGAATGGAAGATCCAAAATAAAAGCTGTTAAAACCTTCAAAACTTGATACAGATTGCATTTCATTTTGGTCATTTTTTCTCACATAAATGTTCATGTTAATAATCACAGATGTATACTGATTCACATTTGCTTTATTTATCTTGGCATATAGCAAGATCTCAATTGGACAACTCCAAAGGACAACACGTAAACCATTAAAGAACATTTTGTAAATCAAAATGATTTATTCTTCCTCACTAATTACTTTGTGTTTGTTAGTTTGCACAGACTATATTGTAATGCTTTTGATACCCCAAACAGTAGCAATAGTACCAGACTGGGTGGTCTGGTAACAAAATGCAATAGATAATTTAAATAAAAAATAAATTATGAATACACAGGCATGCATACACAGATATCATGTCATGCAAATTGGTACAGATCATGGTCACCACGAGACAATCAGAGGAACAACCACAGTAATCAGGCATGGTTGGCCATCCAGAACTGGTGCTATAGTAAACAGACATGGTTGGCCATCCAGAACTAGCGCTCCAGTAATCAGACATGGTTAGCCTGAGTCCACAACTGGATTCAGACTTTCAGGTTGGGAAGGGGAAAGTCTAGACTCTGCGATATTGAACCATACAGTATGTGCTTGGCTTAGGGAAGTCAAAGTTTTACCTTGGGTATATTCCTGATTTTCTTCTATATTTCATGACCCTGGTTCCCTGGAAAACTTCAAGAAATGTGTGGATAGGATCCTTGGATCAGTACTCCTAGCAACCAAATGGGCCTAAAAGGATCCAGTGACCCAGTGTTTGTAGCATTCTTATGTTCTTCACATTTTACCTCCGGTGGCATAGGAGAACTGAAGAACGCTTGCCAGTAATCACCTCAGGCTTTTGTTCCTCAATTAGAAAAAGAAAAGTCCTAGACATCTCTCACTCTAAAGGAGTAGCATCCCATGGGATCTTGAGAGGTGTGGCACCCATTGACTGTCATATCTGGACATGAACATGGAGTGTCCTGGGAGCTGAAAACTACATGAGCATTGTGAATCTGCAATCCCCATTCTTCTGTCCTGGTGGAGGAGATATGAAGTTCAATAATAACAACAAAAATAATAATACTTTCATTTTATATAGCACCTTGAGGAAATGAGAGGAGACAGCAGATTTACATATTTACAATAATGGTTTGAAATACAGCTGGAACACAAAGTAATCAAATAAATGTCCTTTTTAAAGAAGGTTATGAGTCAAGATTTGAATGTGCTCAGGGATGGCGACTCTCCGATATCCTTTGGGTTAGAATTCCAGAACTTTGCGGCATAGCAGGAGATGTCACCCATTGAGTGAAGACGGGCTTGGGGGACAGACAGGAGGCCAGAATTAGATAAACAAAGGTTGCGAGGTGGGGAGTAGGACGATAGTAAGTCAGAAAGGTACTGAGGTGCCAAGCATTGAAGAGTCTTACAGGAGAGCACAAGAACTTTGAAGTCAACACGAAACCTGATAGGAACCAAGTGCAAGGACTCCAGCACAGGAATAATGTGATCACTTGCACAGGACCTGCCAAATTCTGGACATACTGAAGTTTGCTCAGTGTGGATTTAGTTACTCCAGTGAGTAGGGTGTTACAGTAATTAATTCAAGAGAAGTCGAAAGTGTTGTCCAGTTTTTTTAGCAACAGTAAGAAGCTGTCAGGACTGAAACCCTCAAGAGAGACCAAGTGTTTGAGATCACTCTAAAGGAGCAGCATGGAGGAGTTCTGGTTTTGTTTCAAACTGCACAGAAACTATTTCAAAGTGTGTAATAAGTCATGCCACACTGGTTAAAGTTAAAGACTTGCAAGTTGTGCTGTTTTGCTGTTCAGGAAAGGAAACCACATGCAAGGTATCAGTGTATTCCAACATTTTCCTTTTCAATAGGATTTCTTAATACTGTGACGCAACCACACCTCAGTCATTTGCAGTTTCATTTAATTTCAGATGAAAACGCCAGCTTTGCGGTTTGAGGACCTCTAGTCTGGACACGGGCAGGGGAAGAGGCCAGTTCCCCAGGCGTCTGTATTGAGTGTGACCACAGCTTGCGGTGAGGACACTGTTGCATTGTTTCTTACGGTTGGTTGCTCAACCAGAGGTCAAGCTTGATATTGGGAAGTGGCATTCCATGTGCTGAAAACCTCCTGCTGCATCTCTGCTGTGGTTTGGAGTCAAAACTGAATCGGCTTTATGCTCTTCACCACAGGAGTGTGGTGAGAACTAAGTGTTTCCCAATGAATCCGATTCCAGCAGGCTGGCCCACTGAACAAGCAGACGAGACTGTAGTTGTTAAACAGGGAGATGCTCCTTTAGAGCAGTACTGGCACTCATTCTGAGGTCCTCCCAAGGGTTCTGTTGTTTTGTAGTTTGTGGCATCCTGAGCGTGTGTTGTACTTCTCAGGCAGTTCATCTGGAAACAGCTCTGGTGTGCAAACGTCTCCTGTCATAAACTTAGTCCCGCAGGCTTTTACCCTCGGCCATTGCTTCAAATCCACCTCAGGCCTCAACACTGTGAAAGACTCTAATCACAGAGTAAAGGTCACCCCCAGAGGTATGGGCAGCCCGCTGAAGAATGCATAACTGCACTTCAGCACAAAATGTTCAGCACAGTCTAGAAATGCTCTTTTACTTATCCACAAACCTTTAATAATAATAATAGCAACGGTAAAAATAGTAATACATTTTCCTCCTGAGGAATCCCAGAGTGGTTTTACACACAGAAGGGGAACTCACTTATGAAAGGTTACAAACGAGAGAGGGCCACTTGACCCAAACAGCCTGTTTGGAAAGGTCTGACAGTAGAGCCCGTTTCTGCCCTCTGTGGGAATCGAACCCGGGCCACTGAGGGGCCAAGTCCTCACCCCTGGAGTGCCAGGAGACCCTTCACCCAGCCCTGCCATGCAAAAAGCCTCCTTTATACGTTTTAAATTGACTTTACACGTAGTATAGCTCAAAGGGGAGAGGGGAACAGAACGAAAGCACTCTGTATTTTCCGTGTCAAGAGGGGTGTAAACGGTTTAGGGAGAGGAAACAGGGGCGCGGCCGGCTCTCGCGAAGCTCACAGGGACGAGGTGCTGCGGGGGGACAGCAGCTCTCTGGTGCCGCGAGCTCCTGCTGCCGCTCGAGCTTTTCTGTTTTGACAGCAGATCTTGATTTCGGAGGCACCAGGTTGATTTCACTTCCAGCGAAAGTGAGAGAGAGAGGAGAATATCAGGGTATGCTCGGCTCACACAGAGAGAACCAAACTGAAACTTTCATCTCTAGACCCCACATGTACAGTATGTGGGTGCAAAACACTTGAAATGCTGCCAAACTTCGATTCCATCCCCCCCCCC